ACTCTGTCCACTGCACGCTGCTCGCACGCAAACTTCTTCACTCACTGTCACTGCATCAAAGCACACCTCCCCACTCTCTGCCACTGCACCTCCTCACTCTCTGCCACTGCGCCGACACGCAATTCCTTGCTTTCCACCACTGAGCTGATGTACACTTTACTCTCTGCACAGTGTACTGATGCGCACCTCCCCACTCTCTGCCGGTGAACTGGCACACTCTTACTCACTTTCTGCCACCATCGTGCACCTTCTCACCTTTCATCAGTGTGCAGTTCTTCACTCCCCGCCACTGCATCAGCACACACTTTTGTATTCATCCCATTCAACAAATGGCCACTTTTGCTAGAATGCCTTTTAATGAGATTTCACATTTTTACACCAGAGACTTCTGGCCATATGTGCTGTAATAAGAAGCTAACATTAATACAAGAAATATTTGCTGTTGTTTATTTCAAGTTCTAGAAGCAGAACCCGTCTCACTAGACATTGAAAATATTCTCTTCAAGAAGCTGTTGCCTTGGAGCTTTCTGCCTTGTTACACAGAAGAGAAAGGATTCAGGGGAAAATGTGAAAATGATAAAAACAGACAACTTACTTCATAGCTTGTGCAGTAGATCACCTCCCACTCGCAAAATTTACAATCCAGATTGCTGGTGAGCATGGGCATGATGTAGTGCAGTTTTATGCGCTTCCAACAATGCCTATCAAATAAACTGAAGATACAGTTCCATACCTTAATTAAATACTTCTATTATGACTCCCTAGGATTATTTGTTTCCTGTATTTATAGATTGACAAGCACTTTACAAAGTGCATAGATCCATTGATTCATTCACATCAGGCTCTGTCCTCGCCTCCAGGAGCTCACAATCTAATGTCGCTATAGCATTCAAACCCATACACATTCCTACCAGGTGTCCCTGGTGAATGTGCAAGGTATACACTGAACTGAGTGTTAAGTTTGTTTTATTAAAACTGACTGGTTAAAGTGATATTAAAAGGAGAACTATGGGGTCAGGGCTTTTCCCCATAGTTCTCCTAAGGCCCCATTCACACTGAGCGATTCGCAAATCGCGCGTTTGTCGCGCATTGAGCAAGCTAGAATCGCGGCAAAATCCGCTCCAAAAAGGGTCCTGCTGTAGCGACGCACGACCCGCGACAGCGACGGACAGAGCCCCATTGCCATGCATTGGAGAGCGATATCGCACTGTAAATTGCCGCGATATCGCGGGAATTACAGCGCGATAAATCGCTCAGTGTAAATGGGGCCTTAGGGTAACGGGAGGACACAAATTAGCGTCCTCCCGTCACCCAAAGCTCAGTATACTGCAAGCTACAGCTCGCGGTATACTGAGACGCCGCAGCCGGGACGGATCCCAACATTACTGTCGAGATTCGCCCAGCTGCGTGATTGACAGCCGGCTCTGCCTATCTAGAGGCAGAGCCAGCTGTACCCGTCCCCTCCCCCATCCGTTCCACCAGTCAGCGCTGGAGGATCGGACAGGGAAGGGGGGGAATCCCTGCAGAGAGCCGTGACAGTCAAGCCTTAAAGGATAACTATGAGGCGAGTGAAAATCACTCAGCCTCATAGTTCTAGGCGATCTGTGGCAATGAAACTGTCACAGGTCAGCTCAATAGATCGGTAAGGGAGCGAACAGATACCGTCGCTTGCTCACTTCTTGATCTATCCCTGCAGAGAGCCGTGACAGTCACTCACGGCTCCCTGCAGGGATAGATCGAGAAGTGAGCCATCGTTGGTTCACCAATTAGCAATACCCTCCTATATACTTGGCAAAAGCTACATTCGAGTAACGGACATTTATAACGGATTGCCTTACAATGGCTAAGTCAAAGTCTAGACCTTAAAGGACAACTTCACCTTAAGCTCCCCTAACACCCCTGGAGAAGCTCACCTCATAATACTTACATTCCTCCACAATTCAGCGATCTTTGCTCTGATGTGGTCCCAGCTGGCTCTCCTTCAAACTGCATGTGTGCACCATGGCCCCATTCATTCTTATGGGACCATACTGATGGCAGCCTCCAGTGGTGATGGCAGAGTACAGCTTGCTCTTATGAATGAATGGGACCATGAAGCACATGCACACTAAAAAAAAGGAGCTGGTCGGAACCTTGCCAGAGGGAATAGTGCTGGATCAGGGAAAATAGTATGCATTTAGGTAGCTGGGCTGCACTCAGGAGGGTTGCAGATTTTTTATAAAGGACAACTTCACTAAGGATCTATTTACACCACAATGCGGTGTACTGCATGAAGTTAAAAAGCCTATGTAAAATGAATGAGAATTTATTTTAGGGATGCACCAATACCGGTTTTTCGGTATCGAGTATAAGTTCTGATAAAAAAAATTTCGGTACTCGCCAATAGAGTATCGGTGCCAGATTCTCAGGAAGTATGGCGGCGGAACACGACCCATCGCCCGGCTTCCTGATTGCCTGTGAAGCCGGAGTTCTACCGAAAAAACACCGGCTTCACTTGCCAAGGCTGCCTGACCAATCAGGAAGGAGGCGAGTTATGAGGTGCCATCTGGCTTACTGATTAGTCAGGAAGTCAGGCTGACTAACAACAGTGAAGACGGCTTCCTAGCCAATCAGGAAACCAGGCGGCACTTCATAACTCGCCTCCCACTTTCCTGATTGGCTAGGAAGCTGGCTTCACTGGTTCCTAGGCAACCTGGCTCCCTGACCAATCAGGAAGCGGGTTATTAGGTACTGCCCGGCTTCCTGATTGGCCAGGAAGCCAGGCTGCCTAGCAACAAGTGAAGCCGGCTTCCTAGCCAATCAGAAAGCCGGGAGGAGGGCCATAACCCACCTCCCGGCTTCCTGATTGGAAAGGAAGCTGGCTCCATGCTCCCTCGGCACTGCTAGTCAGAAGGAGATCACCCTGTGACCGTAAGTTCTGGTATCTGAGCATTGGGGCGAGTACTCTGTATTGGCGCATCCCTAATTTATTTATATACTTCTTTTTAGATTATACATTTTACCCTCAAACAGAAACTATAAAATGTAAGTGCTTCAATGTTTCAATTCTGATTTACAGTATGGAACATGTGACGTTGTAAACCTGCACATAAGGTCCCTTATGGCACATGTTTATAAAATCACATGTGCTGTGCAAAACAGTAAATTTGAATCAAAACCATCTCCCCTGACAACCCAATGCACTTGGAGTGTAGATCTCCAGGCTTGAGTGCTGTCACATGGGGGGGGGAGAGGGGTTGTGCCAAGTTGGGTATACATGGTTAAAATTTCATTCATAAAATGTTACTTCTAGAACATTCACTTTGATTCTCTAACAGCTAATGGGGTGAAATCAGCAATTGATCTAGACTGTAAGGGGGGGTCAAAGGGAGCAAAATCCTTTCTCTAACAGACAAAATTCTAACATTGATTGTGGTTTTCAATCCATAAACTCAACACATTTACCAAAAAATCAAATGTTAAAATCAAACAAATTTTGAACAACATTTATCAAGTCTTTGATGGCATAACTGAATGTTCTGATGGGATTTTTTGTATGAACATTTGTACGGAAATCTACCAGTGTATGGCCAGCCTCAGAGCTGTCCCAATAATGAGGCAGTCTGGGCTGCTACCTTAGGCGGCATCTCTTTGGGTGACGTGGAAGGGTGGCAGGCAGTGCTGCACAATGTTTGCAGTTTGCCTGCCATCCCCTTTCCGGCTAGAGCATCCCAGGTTGCTAAGAGCCAGGCAGGAAGATGGTCAGGGCCATACACATCTCCACGCCCAGCTCTTAGCAACTTGGGACGCTTTTGCCAGCGTCCCGCTGAGCTCCTGGCAACCAGTGATGTCACTGGCGGGACGCTAGCCAGAGGGTCCCAGGTTGCCAAGAGCCCAGCAAGACGGTTGGGAGATGCAGAGCCCTGACACATCTGCCCACACGGCTCTTAATGGCGTCACTTTCCACCAGCATCATCCCCACCACTGATTGTGCATGCATCTGCATCCCCCTTATTACCACCCATGCACACATCTTGAAGCAGACCTTCACTCAGGCCTGGTTTACACCTACGCGGTTTCAGTTTTGCGCGTTTTTACACGTTTATTTTCTCTTTAAATGCACAAACATGCATTTCTCCCTGAATAGAGAGATCTATGGGAAAAAACTGTGCGACATCCGCCTGAAAATAGCTCCTGCATCTTTTTAGGCAACAGGCATTCTCCTACACGTGACACAATGCTAAGGTGTGAGCAGTCACCATTGACTTGCATGGAAATGTGTTTTGTGCGTCTTCACGCTATTAGATCAGTGCGGGAAAACAGCTCAGGTGTAAACTAGGCCTCAAATAATAAACCTTCCACCAACCTAATCCTCCCCCTCCACTTTTAAAAAGCCGCTTTTATTTATTTACCCCGCTTTTTTTTTTGGCTCTGTTGCCTATCGTCATTTCCTCCCAGGTGAGAATGGCGTTTCACTTTCCTCCAGGGATAGGTATTACTTCTCCAGATTCTGTCTTCTCCAGTTTTGATAAGTACCCCTCCATGGTACTTTATCACAATTGTGTTTTGGTGCAATTTGATGATGAAAGCGCATGGTGCAGCAGGATGCATTGGGGTACCACTAACAATAAATGGCACTGCAGCACCTCTTACAAAGTGACGCACATTGTCATGCTGTAAAACACATGCATCTTTGTGCACATTGCCGCAATGCAAAGATGAAAACAAGGACTTGGGGTCCCCCCAGCCTCCCTCCATAAATGAACTCTAAAATATGTAAGAATGAAAAATTAAAGAAAGCAATTGTTTTGTGGGTGAACGTTCTAGTACTGCACAGGACAGTTTATATGTGTTCTCTCTGTTTATCTTCTCCATGTGAACTTCAATATAAAAGTACAGCTGCCTTCCCTGGCTGCGGGAAGAATAAAGCGCTGTCATACGCCGGGGTACATGAGACCTGCACACAGTGATGTGCAGCCATGATCGAGCACAATTCTAGACAAACGGCAGCTATACAATACCTTCACACTCCCGGCCAGCCACGGCCATGCTGTCACTACTTCCGGGACAGAATGACAGCACCGCCTCTCTACAACACGTGGGCGGAGCCACCAGTTCCCAGCACCGCCCCTCCCCGTGAACTCTTTCATCCCTGGAAGTTCTTATTGTAGCGACTTTCTACTACCAGCAGCTCTCTTTCTATTGATGGCTTCTTTGACAGCAGATGGGCTTTTGTTAACCCCTTCATTGCCAGCAGAAGGGCTTTTGTTAACCCATTAATTGCCAGCAGAAGGGATTTTGTTAACCCATTCATTGCCTGTAGATGAGCTTTTGTTAAAAAATACATTGCCAGCAAATTGCTCCTTTTTTACATTGAACCCTTAACTACCAGCAGCTCTCTTTCTTTCAATGACTTCCTTGCCTGCAGATGGCCTTTTGTTAACCCCTTCATTGCCACCAGATGTTTTGCCCTTTTTAAAGTAACCCCTTTCTATGAATGGCTTCTTTGCCAGCAGATAGTCTTTTGTTAATCCCTTCATTGCCTGTAGATGGGCTTTCGTTAACCAATTAAATGCCAGCAAATGGATCTTTTTTTTAAATAACTCCTTCACTACCGGCAGCCCTCTTTCTATCAATGATGTCCTTGCCAGCAGATGGCCTTTTATTAACCCTTTCATTGCCAGCAGATAGTTCCTTTTTAAAATAAAAAAAAATTAACTCCTTCACTACCAGCAGCTCCCTTTCTATCAATGGCTTCCTTGTCAGCAGATGTCATTTTATTATAGAAGAGCTCCCGCACTGCGAGGGTTAAATGCTTGTTTTGGTCTAGGGTCTAAAATAAAAAAAATATATACTCACTTGACCCCCGGTCCCATGGCAGGAGGCCCTCATCTCTCTCCCCCTCTGCTCTGGCTGTGAAATGTCCCTCAGCATCCTCATGTTCAGTGCAAGCCAATGGACTTGATGACATCATGGACCCTTAGACCGCCGGAGCCCGCGGAAGAAGAGTGTGCAGGGAACGGTCCAGTAGCCAGGTGAGACCAAGGATCGGGTAAGTATATCTTTTTTTAATTTTAGACCCTAGATCAAAACAAGCAGTTAACCGTTCCACTCAATTGCAATTTGAGTTTGACATGCTTGCCCCATGGAAAATAGCTACCTTATTATAAACAGGTACCCAGGTGAGCTAAAGGGTCTATGGTAGGATTTGGGGGTAGTTTTTTGGGATATGTGGTAGCACAACTTTAATGCATCAGAGCCAATTGTTTAAGGGTCGGTTCACACCACAAAGTCTGCGTTCCAGAGCCTCCGGCCTTTGAAACGCACTGGAACACAAGCCGGCCGGCTCCTTGCGTTCAAGGGCGGGAGGGGGCATGGCGGTGCATTGAAGTCAATGGCATCGCAGCCATGCCCCAAAGTGTGTGAACGCCCGCACCCGGAATGAGGGCACATTAGTGCTTGTGTTCTGGTCCAGTGCAATCCGCACAAATACTGTAAGCACTATTTTTGCAGATCACACTGGACCGGAACGTAGGCACTAATGTGAAGCCAATGAGTGGCCAGCTCTGTATGGGTATTCTCACAGCGGCTGGTGGCTGCTGTCAGAATACAAAGCAAGCAGCGTGATTTCTCAATCAACACACTTGTAGCGTTGATAAAGGAATCTGCTCTATTTTTTTTCGTTCAGCCGACTTGAATGAAAAAAAATGAGAGCAGTGTATGGCCAGCCTTAGATGGGTTTGGAAGAAGTTGGGGATACTCTGGAATGATTGTATTTGATGCATGAATTGCATTGGTGAGAACCAGTATTATTACACAAATGTTGGGTTTTAAATCCGGCATCTATTATGGGATAAGGCTACCTGGTATGTGACGATGAAGAGATTAGAATGAATTTACAGACCACATCCAGGCATATTCTTAATTATTTAGGATGTGGTACATATTATTGCATAGTGGGATATTATTTAAGCAGAACTAAACCCTTCTCAAACTGCAAGCTACCCACTGCCATATCATCTAAACCAGTCTTTCTCAATCAGGGTGCTGTGGCTTCCTCAGGGATGCCTCAAAAGTTTCTGATGGTAGAACTCTGATGTAAAAGGGGGAATTCCAATATGAAGGGGAGGCTCTGATATAAAGGGGGGCTTCTGATGTGAAGGGAAGCTTCTGATGTGAAGGGGACACTCCGATGTAAAAAGAGGGGACTTCTAATATAAAGGGAGGCTACTGATATGAAGGGCTCTGATGTAAAAGGGAGAATTGTGATGTGAAAGGGGCTCCTAAATTGAAAGAACTTCAATGCAAAGGTTGTAACCCCACTTTTTCATGTGTTTTTGCATTGGGCCCTCCTTACATTTTAGACTGGTGTGCCTCAAGATTTGGCATAATGTTTAAGGGTGCCATGACTGAAAAAAAGTTGAGAAACACTGATAGGCCAAGCCATCTAATTCTGTGAGCTTTGTGCTACCTACAGCTGCTAGCACCCAAGCATAGTGGGTACTGTCAAATGGTGAGACTCAGTCACAGGCAACCAGTTGTGGCTTTGACTGACCACAGATCACATCTTTTGGCAATAACCATGTGTCATACTGCTGTGTTTGTGCTCAGGTACTGGCAGCTGAAGGAAGGCCATACTTACTGGTAGGTCACATATTAGACAATTAACCACTTCTGGCCAGGCCATTTTTCAGCATTCAGCGCTGCAGTACTTTTGACTGACATTTATTCAGTCATGCAACGCTGTACTGAAATCAATTTTATACCATTTTTGGGGGACAGATAGAGCTTTATTTAGGTGGTATTTAATTACCACTGGGGTTTTTATTTTTTACTATATAATGAAAAAAGGACCGAACATTTTGGAAAAGAAAATAGTTTTTCCCTACGTTATGTTAGAAAACATTTATTATTACCCAATTTTTTGGTAAAATATAAAAGTCGGGGTCACGTCAAGTAAAGAGACACCAAACATGTCAAGCTTTAAAACTATGCGCCTCCACAAAATCGCAAAACGCTACTATGCCCAAAATTGGTCATAGGCGACGCTTTAAAAGCTTTTACCGCTCATCAGTTTAGTGTTATCAGTGATTAATGGGCCTAAGATTATTGCTCTCACTGCGACTTTCGCGACAATATCTAACGTGTGGCGTAATCGTTGTTTTTGCATAGGCGCACACAACGCATATTTAAGTGCTTGCGCGCTGGGGCGGGGGACTTCAAGCTTTTTTGGCGTTTAAAAAAAAAAAAAAATAATATGAAACTTTCATTTTTAAAAAAAAACATTTTTTACACTTAAAGTGACATTAAACCCTCAGATTTTTTAACATAAAACAATACTGTAATGTGCGCCTTACTGTAATCCATGGTTGTTTCCCTTCTCTTTCCTTTTAAATCTGTATCTGTTCTCATGCTCTGCAGAACTCCTGTTTTGCAGCAGACTGCCTTGTCTCAGGAATGGATACACGGTGTCTGTGTGTAAGTTTGTATAGGCTTGTAACCTAAAGCCAGCACTACAGGAAGAGGCCAAGAGCTGAAAAGGGAAGTTCTTCCCAAGCATGAGAAGACATGAGGATTTAAAAGGAAGAGCAGCAAAGAGAAGGGAAACTACCATGGATTACAGTAAGGCGCACATTACAGTATTGGTTTATGTAAAAAAATCTGAGGGTTTAATGTCACTTTAACTTGATTGCTATCACATAGGGGGATAAAAAGCCTCCAATGTGATAGCTAGAAAAAAAAGGGCAGGTCCTCTTTGGAGACATCAGGGGTCTCTAAGACCCCCAATGTCACCTAGGGACCCCCAAAGAAGCTGATGAAGCAGAGATCTGCATCATCAGCTTCTTCTCTGGCTCTCATATCGTAATCCACATCGCTTCCGACTTTCAGAGAGAGAAGGAGGAGGGTTCAGCGATGGGGGAAATGCTGATCTCACTTCCTTCTCTCTACGAGCAGCCGCTAAGCCAGAGTGCTAATTCCCGGGCACCGCAGGGGAAACAGCGGTACCCGGGATAACTGGCAGCAGCAAAAGAGGGGGGTGCGACAGCAAAGGGGGGTGCCGCACACTACAGGGATATACAAGCGATCGGCCGGTTATAGAGCCGGCAGAACACTTGTATGAAACAGCTAGTAACGGCTGTACACATTCCCAGCGGGATTCTGCTCTCGTACGCCCGCCAGGGGACGTGCCGAAGCAGGTAAAATATCATGTGCATGTACGTCCACCCGCCGGGAAGGATCAGCTGTCTGCCCCTAATTTTACGATGGGTGGACGGCAAGGGGTTAATCATGAATGCACCGATATTGATACTAGTATTGGTATCAGTGCCAATACTGAGTATTTGGGCGAGTACTCATACTCGCCCAAATGCTCTGATACTTACCCCCAATACCGGAACTTCCGGTCAGAGGGAGTGCCACGGGGGAGCATGTCCAACTTCTTGATTGGCCGGGAAGCTAGCTCCATGCTGTTTGGACGGCTTTTGGCATTACCATAGTAAGCTAGCTATTTGAGATTGTGTAGGTTACATTTTGCTTTGCCTCCCTTTATCAGCATGAACCAGGGCTGTAGCTACCATGGGGCTATTGAGACACTCGCCTCAGGCGCAGCTGAGAGGGGGCGTAGTCAGGGCCAGCCTGGCTGCGCCCCCTCGCCCCTGTTGGCATGGCGCGCACAGGGCGCCACTGGAGGCCGATCTACCATGGGGCTATTGAGACACTCGCCTCAGGCGCAGCTGAGAGGGGGCGTAGTCAGGGCCAGCCTGGCTGCGCCCCCTCGCCCCTGTTGGCATGGCGAGCACAGGGCGCCATTGGCGCCAGACGTCCAACACAGCTTCTCCTCGCATTCCCCGCTGCATGTGCAGAGGACTCTGTGTCCTCAATCTCCTCTTTTTCTATTTCAAAAGGGAAATGTCAGAGGTCTGTTTAGACCCCTGACATTTCCTCGAAGCCCCCAGAACCCACCCCCCCACCACACACACACACGCCATTAGACATGTGCAAAGCCTAAATGAACGGAAACGAAAAATGTTTTCATTTAGTTTCGTCAAATGAAACGCATTTTTATGCTATTTGGTGCCACCATCCTGGAGGCAGGGCGCATGACGTCACATGACGCCGTGCGTGCGTGGCATAGGGTGACATAACACATCTGTTGGGGGGGCACAATTTTCTGTTCTTGCCTCGGGCGCAAAAGGAGCTAGCTACGGCTCTGGCATGAACGGTCCCCCCAAAGCCTCCTCTCGAAGGTCCTCCAACTGGTAGTAGGATGCCTGCCTCCCACGCACACAGGGCAGGGCTAATAGTCCTATATAGTAAGTGATGGCGCTGAAGGACCACTGGCACAGCTCAGAGGATCATGGGAGAGGAGCAGTGGCGTCACAAGAGGGGTGTGGGGGGTGCGGCCCGCACCCGGGTGACACAATTGGAGGGGTGACACCAAAACGACTCAGTCATTTTGGTGTGTCACCCCCCTCTGAAAAGTATCAGGAGAGAGGAGGGGACCCGGCGGCATACCTTATCCCGCTGGGTGACTGTCCCCTCCTCTCTCTGCCAGTGTCCATCACCAAGATGGCCGCCGGCAGGCATCAGAATACTGCCGCGCGTGCGCGATGACGTCATTGCGTACGCGCGTGGTCGTCGTGCACGCGCATGTGCAGTGACGTCTAGGCGGGGTGACACTCAGTTACCGCTCCGGGTGTTACCCAGCCTCGGGACGCCCCTGGAGAGGAGAGCACCAGAGTTTGCTGGAGTGGGGTTATGAGAACTATTACAGTCTCTTAACCTCCCTCCTAGATTTAAAGGGTAATTCCACTTTCACAGGTAAATTTTTGAAAAGGTAATTACCCCCTCCAATCTGGCTATAGTTACCTTTGGGCGAATGTTCCTTCACCGGTGCCGGTGTACTATCCGTAGCCTCTGTATTTTGAACTTCGCTCGCAAATGGTGAGCACTCATTGGTCAGCGGTCACCTGATTGGGGTTTCGTGGGGGTAGGTTGTTTTCATGATTTTGCTTTAATTTTTAAAGACCATGCTGATAGGACAGGGCAGAGTGACAGAGAGATGAGCTCATCAGTCTGCTGCTCCTCCTTTTAGCACCCATTCACATCTGAGTGTAGCAGGGAAGTGCATTCCTGCATGTTCACAAGCATTTGTTTTCCACGTTTGGTTCGTGTCCCCATTTATTTCAATGGGTCCCTGGATGCATGCCAAACACAGGAAAGTAGTACATGCCACAAGTTTTGTGACATGCGCTCTGAGTTTTTTAGCATGTTCGGATGTGTTCTCCTGTGCGCGAATGCAAGGTAAAATGTGTTTGCTTGCCCGTGTTTGGGGTGTCAATAACTAGTAATGGTATCGCAAGCCTGTTATGTGTGAACAGGGGGCTTACTGTCAAGTCACAGGCTGAGAGAGAGACAAGACCTGTAAGTGCTACTGAACTGTAACAGAGAGAATCGGGTCTCCTCCCTGATAGTCAATGATGTGTGGCAGAGCTATGTAAATCTCAGGACTGGATGGATGAAAATACAAATCCTTTGGTAATTAAATTGGCTCCCCCATATGTATTTCATCTCTGTATTTAACAGCTTGCCACGACTTTAAAAGCAGAAGTAAACCAGTTTTTTTAAATCGCTGACAGATATGCTTTTTATGAGAGATGAAGCTTTCCTCTGAGAATGGCGGTAAAGTCTCTTCTGTCATAAGTGCTTCTTCCTTCCTGTCAGCATTTTTTGTTTCTGAATCTACACTGAGCCTGCCATGTACATCATAGTATACTGTCTTGGCATGATTCAGTGCTGGGACGAAGTGATTCCCATGTGCATGCGCAGGAGTTACGTCATACCCACGTGGCTAATCAAGATGGCTGAAGAAGAAGACCGGGTGAAGATGGAAGTGCCAGCGATGGAGGCCACATTGACATTGCAGTGCTGGAGGGGATCACTTTGCAAATAGATAATGTGCCAATATGCTGTGCATACGTCCACATTATGCCCAAGAGCTCCCGGGGGCCCAAAAAGTTTTTATCTTTAAAGGAGAACTATGGGGTAAGTGTTTTTCCCCATAGTTCTCCTCAGGGTCACGGGAGGACATAAACTAGCGTCCTCCCGTGACCCAAAGCTCAGTCTATACTGAGACCCCCCGCAGCCGGGACAGATCCCAGCATTACTTTCGAGATCCAGCCAGCTGCGTGATTGACAGCTGGCTCTGCCTATCTAGAGGCAGAGCTAGCTGTACCCGCCCCCTCCCCCGTTTGCTCCTCCACTAAGCGCTGGAGGATCGGCGCGGGGAGGGGTGGAATCCCTGCAGGGAGCCGTGACGGCTCTCTGCAGGGATAGATCGAGAAGTGGTATGCGTTCGCTCACTTCCCGATCTATTGAGCCGACGTGTGACAGTTTCATTGTCACACATCGGCTCGAACTATGAGGTTGAGTGAAAATCATTTGCCTCATAGATCTCCTTTTTAATGAAGGTTTAATTCTGCTTGAAGAGAATGGAAAACTGCTAATAAAACTATATCCCAGTTCTGCCTAATGTTCTCAACCACCATGCATGTGTATTGCAGTCACCTGAACCGCTGTACTAAAACTACAGTTCCCATTACACATGGCACCGTCTGTCCCACTGCCCCAGTTTATGAACTCATTCATACTGGAAGCTTCCACAGGCATTCTGTACTAAACAATTCCCATAACTAACTGCGCCAGCGGTCCTACTGTGCATGCGTCACTTTATTCATTCATTTCCTCGTGAGTGGGGAGATTAAGGATGTGAGTGACCATCATTCTCATATTCCATGAGTTTTGTTCTTGGAGTTTACGTACTGGCGCTAGCTACATTGGCACTTGCGATGTGCAGGGGCTCGGTGTGAACCAAGTTCATCCAAATTCGCCCAAGTCCATGCAAAACTATCACTGACACCACTCAGTTGCAGCAAGGAAATTCCCAGACCCTTTGAGACATGTAGTGCTTATTCACACCAAATGCATTCCAGATGCAGAGCAGTTACAGAACGCATAAAAAACACATACAATGGTATTTTGGGCTCTAGTTCACACTGCAGCATTCAGTTCCAAAGCATGTACAAAAACTGCAGCAAGCCCTATTTTTCCTGCTCTGGAACGCATGAAAACACATCAAGAATGCATGCAAACACCCTGGAAAGCCCTGAAAGCCCATTTTAGGGGGGAACAACCTGCATTGGAACGCATCAAAACATATATGTATACGTGCTGAATATTATTTTTGGACGTGTTTTGGGTTTGGCAAAACTTTAAGAGGAGAACTAGCGTTGAAGGGGTTAATAATAAAGGGGGCGTTGCTGAGACCTGTGGCGCGCCCCCGGCTAGGCTGTCTCCACTGCCTCACTGAGAGCTCGGGAGCGTGCAGAGCTCAGGGCCGCGCATGCGCAGTAGGGTAAGCGGGGGGCTCAGCTCTTCTAGCGGTGTGCTTTGCAGCCAGCTCCTGTAGCGTTGCTTTCCTCTTGGTTACCAGAACAATGAGCCCGCTGCCTGCGAGCCAGCCGGAGTGCTAACTGTGCTCCTTTGGCGCATGCTCCTGCATGGGGGTACACGGGGCAAGCGGCACACTGAACGTTGCCACTGACACACACACGCATTCACATAGACTTCACTGTACACAAGTTCCTCAGCAATCACAGTGACATCCGCCGGGCACTGCACACACAGACACACACACACCGGCTTGATTATGCGGGTCAGCTGGCACACACTGGACTAGTATCACTCAGGGCACAGCGCCTGGCACCGATCGGGGCATACGGTATTAATACAAAGGTACATTGACGAGTCGCAGAGCAAGACGAGCTCCTGTCACTGACAAGACTGCAAAGGAGTGTGCATTGTGTGATCTCTTCTACCTTCCCTCCAGTGACAGCCGGACACACAGGGGGCTCGTACACAAAGACAGCACAGAGGTGGGGAGGGGGAGCTCTGTCACCACCATCGGAGGAGGGATGTTTGGCTTCTCCTGATCCACAAACACGGCATCACAACACTGGAGACATGTGGGTACCCACGGAGCACGAGAAATACGGCGTCGGTGAGTGATTCCCCCTATACCTTTCCTTCTGTATTCCTCCTGCCCCATCATCATCATCCCTGTATCCTTCCAGCAGGCAGCTATGGAGATCGCATGCTTACTTGGTGCCTGCAGGACATTACACTGCATACCAATCAAGGCTTTTCCCAGCAGGGCATACGCATCCCTTGGCTGCTTGCTTTAAATGCAAACATGCATCAAATAGTGCTGGAATCCGTGGGGATGGGATACGGTCATGATTGTAATGAGCAGCTCGCTGCTGATCGCTCCTAACCTGAAGTTTCTTCAAGATATAAACAAAGAGGCTGTCAAAGAGTTAGCACAAAGAGGCACAGCAAGAACTAGAGGTGCCCTGCTTGTTTAGGAGGATCTGCATCTGAAGGGACCAGAGAACTGAAAACCTATATTTCATTTACTGATCTAGTGTGTATGTATGTAATACATGATCTGCTATATAGTGATCTGCTATATAATAGTATCTGGGAATTAAACAGCACCAACAGTTTGATCAGCGCTTTACAAAATAAAGGGAGACCGTACAGTTACAGTAGAATTGAAGTTAATCCGATCTTTCTCTTTCTCTCATTTAAACTTATCTATCCTATCTATCTATCTATCTATCTATCTATCTATCTATCTATCTATCTATCTCTGTCATTTTAAACTGATGTACTGTTTAACTTCCATCAGCGTTGACGTCACAGTGTTGGCTAGTGGTAAATACTTTGTAAACAGTAGTGGTATTAGGGGCAATGGAATCATTTTTTATCCTGCTGCAGTCTAAACCAAGATGTTGTCATCTGCTCTTTTTAACGAGTGTTTCCTAGAAAATGGATCTTGCCTTTTATTTCCCATCCACCTGATTGGATTGTTACAGATGGGAATGCCATTCTTGCTGTTACATCTTGGATCTGTGGGGTTTCCAGGGGACACATTTGTAGCCTTTTGTGTGCGTATTGGTCCTGTGTTTTGGTGTAATATTTCATGTTTCTGCTGACGACGTCTTGTTTGCGGTGGTGTTGACAGGTTTAGGGGAGCAGATTTGTGATGAATACCCTGAGGCCTTCAAAAGGCCGGTTTGTTTTCATCTTTGAGAGGTGAAATGGTGCTCATCATGGCTTATGAGCTGTTTGCAATCGCTGGCCAGTGAATGGCCAAAGTCTGGGAGTTTCTTTGCATTGTGTCAGTGTTTCTCTTTTGTTACTGCTTTTGTTTGTTTGTGCTGAGGGAAGTGTTGTGATTGTTGACATGATGTGAGGTCTGTTCTGTGGGATGTTATTTACCAAGTCCCGCCTATCTCTCTCAGCAAATGGACCCCTCAGAAAAACCATCACAAGCCTCCTTTGTACTTTGCGGCACATAGTAGCAGAATATATTGCTGCTTGCTTTAGCAGGGGAAACAATGGCTGTATATCAGTTTGCCAGTCCATGGGCCATTAATTTGTGTGGCACATAAAGGGGTTAACCTCGTTGGGAGATAATATACCAAGATCTTCAATATCCACTGCTCATTTCCTATAGAGTTGCTGCCATCTGCCCTGGTTTCTTTCTTCCGTTTTACATTCTTTTTCAGATGCTTGACAGACCATTCACTTAACAATGACCCATAAATAACATTTTCCTTTTATTTGGAGCTACTTGGTGTGGGAGACGTTGCTGTTTTTCTTTTTACAAGCCTTTTGTATATCAATGTTTTTGTTTATGTATCAAAATATTATTATTACTATGTTATCCAGGATTTATATTGCACCACCAGGTTCCTCAGTGCTTTACAAAATAAAGGGAGACAGTACAGTTACTATACAATTCAAGACAAGAGGGTTTGGAGGGCCCTGCTCGGGAGAGCTTGCAATCTAAGGGGAGGAAATTTTGTTCCAAGGGAGGAAAATGGGTGAAAAGTAATCCAGTTTTGATATCATTATACATTTTGGTTAACCTTGCTGTAGTAATTTGATATCATTATACATTTTTGGTTAACCTTGCTGTAGTGAAAGTGAACATGGAATGGGTACAGTATAGGCCGCCTTATCGTATCCTCTAATTGTATACGAAGACCTAATATTGAGATGCTTTTGGAATTTAAGTAAAAACAGGCATTGTAATGTATTTGTTGTTTCTTGTCTTGGCATTATTAAAGTCTAGTGCTATTTACAAATATGCAGTTATGTAACATATTTTCCCTGATACGGTTTCTGTAAATAATGTAAATGAATGCTGCCTGCTAATGTTTGTTTGAATGAGAGTATCTCACAAGCCAATGGGTTTTGTTCAAGTTCAGATGTACATGAAATGAAAAAACTCATCAAAGCTGTAGCCAGTCTGAATTTTTCTTCCTAGCATGTCACCATGACCATGTCACAAAAGCTTGGCGGCCCTACAATCATTCTTGCATTGTAAGATTTGGAGGTTCTTGTATACATGAAAGATGAATCTGTATATTATAGGAAGTTCTGGTCTATTATCTGATGCTTTGGAGGGATATTTTTAGTGCATTCATTTGCTACAATTATAATCATAATATTTCCAAAATTAGAGACCACAAGCAGTTTATTTATAGGAAACCTGTACTGAAAGAAAGTAGGCTTCTATTGCTGTCCTATTGCCTGTCTGTCTCTTGCTTCAGTACTTTGAGTTACTGACCTGGAACAAGCATGCAAATTAGGAGAAGTAAAAAAAAAAATCCTGATCTGCATACTGCTTTCACATCAATGTATCAGGCAGTATGAAAGCCACTGGATCAGTAGGGCAGGCTATTGGCATTATCAGTAGAGGTCATGCTCTTCCACTGGCGTCAGTATTTTAAATCATTGAGCCAGAACATGCACACAGCATTAAGGGTCCATTTACATATGCATTAAGGGCCTGTTCACGCGATGTCCGGATTCTGTCCTGACCATATCCGTGCGCTCCTGCACTAAAAATGCATCCCAATGTATCCCTATGTGTTTTATGGGCTACAATTCTCACGTGCACAGTCCGTTCATAAAAAATACTGCATGTCACATTCTGTCCGGTCAGGAAACGCGTCAAAAACGCACTGCACTGCAGCTAACATACTGACAGCCCCACCCCAGCAAAAAAAAGATTATTTTTTTTTAAAACTGGAACGTGCCAAAAACGCATAGCACCACGTCTGCAGATCTGCTCCAGATCCGGACCAGATCTGGTCCGGACATCGTGTGAACAAGGCAGGTGTTTTCATGTGTTGAGGTGGCCCATTTATTCCTCAGAGTTAAAATTGCTGAAAACATTGGAGCAGTTTGACAGGCAGCTGACATTTAAAACCATAGAAACCTCCAGCACCTCCTTCAAATCGCCCATCATGCAGAGCCCAATGTAGATTTTTGATAATCGTTCGTCAGCAATACTAACTGGCCGAATTTCGTTTAACGTCAGAACAGATTTTCGTTTGCGCATGTGCAGTGTTCATGTTGGGATTTTTGTTGTACGAAAACACCACTAATCCATCCGTTTCGACAAAGGTTTTCTAGTCTGTGCCCGTTCAACCAAATTCACCCAGTAGTACAGTAATTGCGATCGTGCACTTCCCATCAACTGGCTGATTATTGTACGAAACCGCAGTCGCTGACGATTATCATATGATAATTGTAAGGTATATGGGCACCTTTTTTAGATAGGATGAGGATAGATTAGAACGTCTGATAATTACTGTCCCCCCCCAATCAAACATATTTCATTTCAAGTTGATAAAGCCAAGATGAACAGGCATCAAGGGACTATACTTTATTTTTTTTTTTTTTTTCCTATTTTTTTTCTTCCATATTTCCTGTCTTGTTCTCAAAGTATTTCTCGTGTGTCTCGTTTTTCTGTGGTTTTTTTTTTTTTTTTAACTAGGAAAAACCTCTTCAGAAGCTTGCCCTCTCATGTTGAGGCACATCCTTCAGGGAGATGAAGCCTCCTAGGGGTCATGCTATTAGTCCTCTTTATAGTTCTGTTTGTCCTTTTGCATGGTTTGTGACATTTATATCAAACATTCTGTATATTTAACACTACATTTGATACCAATTACTGACTTACCATTTAGATAATTGATAATCTGCTACAAATTAAAATAAGGATTGTAGCTAGAGTGCACATGTGAAGCATTGTGGATCTACAGCATTATAGATCATTTTAAAATGCTGCAGAAAGGTTTTTATTTAACTACTTCTGTCTACATAGTACATTGCTACACACTCAGGTATTCTCTTGTAGGTGACAGATTGCAAGGTTTTCTCTTGTAGGTGACTGATTCTTTGTAAGGGAAATGGCAGGAGTTGCTGATTGTGAGGTCATCTTCAGGAGCTGTCTTTGGTGCTACTTTGTGGGTACAACTTTAATTTTTTTGGTACTGTTCTCTATATACAGCTATATTTTCACAACTATTTTTAATTCATAATCTGAACTGTTAGAAACAAAGTGTGTTTTTATTTTTCAAGTTTAACAGGGAACATCAATGACATTTTGGGTGTCAGTATAAAAATGACTGTGTAGAAGAGCTAAAATTGACCCAAGCATTTTAAAATGGTATCAGTCATACAACAATGATAGAGATTGACATGACCATGAAGCAAACTTGACAAATAAAACATACCAAAAAAATGATAGATTCTAGTGCACTTGGGTAGAAAGCGAGTGGACTGCATAGAACAATGATTAGGTACAGTGGTATCTTGGTTCACAAATTTAATTCGTTCCACGAGTCTGGTCGCGAACCGAATTGGTTGCAAAATCAAATACTGTATGTGCTAAAAAGCTTCACAGCAAGTGTGCACTGCGGAGAAGATGGTCCCGTTTGTCACCCGATGCAGAGTTTGTGAATGTAAGCAAAATTTTGCCGAACTTCCTGTTCGCGAACCGAATTGTTCGTGAACAGAAGCGTTCGTGAACCCGAGGTATTACTGTAAGAAGGTAAGCATGGTTACAACTCAAGCCAGAGTTCCACAGACTGAATAGCTGGTGGAGGTCTACTTTTCAGTAGAATGCTAGGTTATTCCTGG